AGCGCTAGGCGCGGGCACGGACAGAGGCACTGCCTGGCCTCTGCGACGCGGCACGGGCACGGCACGCGCTACTGGCGCGGCTGGTGACCCTAGCCGGTCTTTTGCCGAACTTCCGACAACTTTTCTAGGGACTACTGAACCAAATCAACCTAATATGACATAATATACTCAAAAATGCCAAAAGTCCCTGAGAGACCTCGGTTAGATACGGTGGTGGGCTTATAGGGCTGATTAGGCACGAGGCCACCCTAGGGCACAAAAATGAACATGCTCAACATGAAAATTGACCTAGGGCCGAATGATATACATCAAAAATCATGGCTAATGAGGCTAGAACATTGGTCAATACATGCATGCACATATACTTAGGTTCGGGGGTCAAAATGGCTCGATTTCACTTAACAAATTAACCGAACAAAAGAACTCAAAGCATGCTAATCTTTTACCAATGTTATACACATGATTTTTGAGGATTTTTAAGCTATTAATCTCGGCCATATCATGCATGCATCATAAAATTCGAATTTAAGGGACTAAACTTCAAAAATTCGAAACTCCATATTATGAACGTGCATGGCATCATTTTTCAACATGATAATTCCTATTTTATCATGAATAAGCTAGGAAAAATGGTTGGCACGAGCTAACCTTGCTCAAAAGTCGAAATGGTGCTAGTGGCCTCGACTAGGGCTCACTCGCGGCTTGAGGGCTTAGGCTTGCTTTGGAATGGGGTTTGACCAAGCCTTATGAAACCCAAAGGCTTAGAAAAATCTAAGGAACACTTAGATGCTGCTAAGCCTCGAGATATTCTGGCTGGAAAGGCCAGCTTCCCCGGGCTGCTGGGCACGCGCAAGGGCTGGGAAGGGCTTCTCGACTTTGCTCTGAATTTTCTCAAGGGTTGTTCGAGCTTTTAAGTGGCAAATGAGTTCAAAAAGTCTGAGGAATAGGTCTTAAGTAGTGGAGAGGGGCGGAGTGCACAAGGCTGGTCAATGGGGGACAAGAATCCATGACCTTGCACACACCCATGAGCATAGGAGTTAGGGTGGCCTTGGACTGAAATGGCGCAGATTCCTAGAGCATATGCAGGGCATCTTGGATTAAATAATTGCCTTGGACAGGCCTTGGTCGGCTGGAGCACAAGGGGACAAGGTTCCCATCATAAACATTTGCATATGGCCCCTCCACTCATAATTAAATAATCCCTAATGCCCATGTGACATCCTTAATCCTTACTTAGGGCATCCTAAGCTGAATTAGTCCGTAATCCACCCCTTAACACACGCATGAAGTTGGGCCCTGGAGAAGTGGGCCGAAATTTATTGATTTGGGCTCAAGAAGAGGGCTGGTGCGCTGCCAGCGCTGGGCCTGGGCGCTGCTGGGCCCTGGGCACTGTCTGGGCTGCACGCGGCACGGGGCCTAGGCGCGAGAACTGCTGGCCTGGCTGCGCGCGAGAAAACACTTGGGCCGAGAATGCCACATGCTTAGGGCTGCAATCAACCTCTCCACACTTAGAAAAATTCCAAAGGTGTTTGGCCATGACTTGGGCCACCATATTTGACTCGCGCGAGGCTAGGGTGCGGGCACTAGGGCGCGACTCATGGCCCAGGCTTGGAAAATGCTTAGCCTAGGATAACCCTTGGATAGGGCTGAACTCGCGGTTCGTCTAGGGAACCAAAACACTTAGAAAAAATATGCCACACTACTAACCATGACTTGGGCACTCGCGGCTTGGCGAGGCACGCGACGCTTAGGCGCGAGGACTCGGACCCGTGCACGAACTCGGTGCGGGGTTACTTAGACAGAGGAAATGATATCGAAGGCTCGATAAAAAGGATCTCATACTTAGAAAATATTCTAAGTAAGGCTATGAGCATGGCTAGGGCTCGAACAAGACTCGAGACAACTAGGGCTCGAGAATTGGTTGGGCGCGAACTAGGCGCGATACTCGCGACCGAATAACTCGGTTCCGGACACGGCTAAACTTAGACAATTTATCGAAACATACTCGGTTTCGATTATTCGTCAACTGAAATAATTAATTCCGACTGAATAAAATCCATTGATAAAATAAATGGACCGGAATTAACAACTGAGATTGAATAGCTGATAACTGGGCTCAGAACTCAAGACGAGCAGTATTAATAAAAAGAAATAGTTCAACTGGGAACTAAAAACTGTCATTTTTATTGATACATAACTGGGCTATTACACCTAAGCTGCAGACATTCATACCAACATGTCAGTTTCCAAGGGATAAAGATAAGATCTCAGTGGTAAGTGATTTAATGGTGAATGGCCACAGAGTATGGGATCAAGAGTTGATATACCAGACTTTCAGTCCATTTGAAGCTATGGAAATTCTGAAAATTTATCTCAGTCACTATGCTAAACAAGATAAATTGATTTGGCAAGGAGATTCAAAAGGGCTATTCTCAGTGAAGTCAGCTCATCAATGTCTACAGAAGATGAAGGCCGAAGGGAGACCTGGATCAAGTAGAGGGAAGAGCCAGCAAAAGAAAATGTGGGATTACACATGGAAATTACCACTTCAGCTAAAACTTAAGAATTTTATTTGGAGGGTATACCATGGATTCCTAAGTACAAATGGGCAGTTATATAGGAAAAGGATTCCAATTGACAGTATGTGCAGGTTGTGTGAGGAACATGAGGAAGATGTGGAGCACTTGTTTATCTATTGTGGATCTGTTCGGAAATGTTGGAAGCTGTTGGGAGTAGAATGGACAGCCTTTAGGAGACCAAATGTGAAGTTACAGGATTGGTGGTGGGAGATTCATAATAGCAGGAAGAACAAACATTTTAGAGACAGAATAACCTTGTCAGTTTGTTTGATGTGGAGGGTATGGAAAGCTAGGAATAACTGGATTTTCAGAGGGGAAGAATTTAAAGAGCAGGAGGTAGTTAGAGGTGCTAAAAGAGATTGGCTAGAGAGCCTGGGGGAGGTCAGTGTTCAGAGCCATTGTGATGAGCATAATGTAAGCACTACTGAGCTACAAGAAGAAGAATTTTCCAAGGAGGTAGGATTAGTGAATTTCACTATCAGTGCCTTAACTTCTTCTTCTGGCACGGTAGGCATTGGTGGAGTGGCTAGACTGAATAATGAGGAGGTGTTTGCAGGAAACTCAAGGTTTGATTGGGCAGGGAGTGAGGAGGAAGCCATGCTTTTAGCAGTTAGGTGGCACTTGGAAGTGGCAGCTGCACAAGGTTGGCTAAAAATAGTGTGTTTTTTGAATTCTGCAAGTTTTGTGCACAAGCTCAAGCATGATTATCCATTTCCTGTATCTGTTTGTAATATAGCTGTAGATGTGCATGTGCTTCGTGATAGTTTCTTGGTTTGTGATTTTAGATTAAGCTCATTTTGTCCTCGTAGTAATAGTTTAGCCATGTTGGCTTTGGAGGGACAACACTGTGTTGATCCTGCAAACTTGTAATCAGTTGATTACCCGTTTGTAATTATTTGAGAATTACTAATATTTTGTTTCGTTT